TCACTCCATTCACACAGAAAATGAACACATTGCTCATGCGCATTGATAAATTTTCTTATGTTCACTTATAGCGAGGCACATAAAATATTAAATATATACAATTTTTAGATATTTATTCTAATTTTAAAATTTCACAAGTGGAATTTATTTTTGTCCTACTTCCAAAACGTTTTGATCGTATGTTTCACGTGCATGTAGTGTAAAATAGTGTTTTTCACATTTATAATTCAAATGATTAATTATAGCCTTGATATACATTTTTCTAATAAATTATTTCACAGGTTTAGTGTGCAATTTTTTCTACATATCAATTGGTCGTGCGTGAAAATGATGTGCATGTTAAGGTTCTTTATGGTGACAATAACATTAATGTTGCCCCTAGAGTGTACATTGTGAGCCCTATTTATGTATACCATGATGCAAACCATATGTACGAGAGCGGTTGGGGAAATTGACCATTGAACCAAGAAAAATAATAACTCAGAAAGAAGAGATAAGGTATTGTAGTTTGTATTTTGCATTATTATATTTTTTAATTATTGTAATTTTGTTACTTCAGACTACAATATCCGCACTGAGCTATATCATTTTGAATAACATTAAAAAAAATCCGTATTTCAGTTATATGTTCATGACAAAGTATCCAGGAAGTTCAGATATTTGCAAGACGTTGCAATATTCATATTGTACAACTGCTACATAGAGGATTTAAAGAAAGTTCCAATTGTAGAAACATAATAAATCCTAGTAATTTATTTTCTGAGGAGCAAGATGAATTATCCAACATAAAGCATTCAAGAGAAAGGAAAGAACGTAGTCTAACGACATCCAATGTTGAAAAGACTTGGAAGGCGTCATTTAAGCTCCTCCAATGCCATGGTGTTCTCGACACTTATATTTTGGAGATGCATGACGAGGTACGTCTCTTGCAAGACTAATAATACAAAATCTGAAACTTAAATTAAGTTATCCCTTACAATATTTTTTTAATAAATTTTATCGCAGGCTGAGAGTCCTAATGGTATTGCATATCAACTGGTTGTGCATGAAAAGGTTCTTTCTAGTGCAAAGAACGAGCATGAAAAATGAGGTGTACATGAAGATTCTTTCTAGTGCAAAGTACATCACTATTTCCGCCCAGGTGCACATTGTGAACCGTCTTCACGTCCAACCATGAAGTCAACTATCTCTACGTGAGCGATTATGATGATGGACTGTGGAACAAAGAAAGCATAATAATTCAGAGAGAAGAGATAAGATATTGTACTTAGTTTTTTTTATTGCTAGTTATATTTTACTAGACAGTGTTTTTGTTATTTCATAGCGCACTACTTTCTCACTTAATTATATCTTTTTGGACAAAGTTTGTCAGAAGTTAAGAACTATGCAAGAGGTTGCAACATTCATACTATACAACTGGTACATAGATGACTTAAAAGAACACTCTAAATGTTGAAACATAGTAAATTCTAGTGATACATTTTTTTTCCCTCTCCTGTTTTTTTACCTTAAAACATCTATTGAAAAACATTGACAATAATTGTTAAACAACTCTCATGTAGTAGAAATCTGACATCATTTATACACAATTTTTATTTTGTAGGATAAATGAGAATGAGATTGTGTAATGCACTAGAATCTGTCATGATGCCATAATAATTAGTGCGTAATAGTAGTTCGTACATGGCATATAGTTCATAAGATTAAGTTTTAGCCTTGACACACATTTTCCTAATAAATTATTGCACGTGTTGAGAGCGCAAATTTTTCTGCATATCAATTGATCATGCGTGAAAATGATGTGCATGTTAAGCTTCTTTCTCGTGAAAAAGAACATTAATGTTGCTGCTAGAGTGTAAATTGTTAACCCTATTCAGGTGCGACCTAGATGCAAACTATATGTACGAGAGCGGTTGGGGAAATGGACCATCGAACAAAGAAACCATAATAACTCAGAAAGAAGAGATAAGGTATTGTAGTTTGCATTTTTCATTTTTATCTTTTGTAATTATTGTCATTTTGTTAACCCAGACCACAATATCTGCACTGAGTTATATCATATGGAATAACCTCAAAACAATTATTTTGTATTTCAGTTTTATGTCCATGACAAATTGTCCAGGAAGTTCAGATCTCTGCAAGATGTTGTAATATTCATATTGTACAACTGTTACAGAGAGGATTTTAAAGAAAGTTCCAAAGGTTGAAACATAATAAATTCTAGTAATTTATTTTCTTTACATTTTTTTATTTTACCTAGCTATACATATCTATTGAAATGATTTGTAAATAGGGCGAATGACAAAAAGGCCCATCACATGGGACTTAAATGCATTTTAGTCCACAAAAAAAAACACAGTCTCTCAATTAAACCCATCCCCGTGTCTTTAGTCTAAAATACCCTCCATAATATAATTCTTATCAATTCCACCCATTATGCTCTAACTTCTTTAATATTACACATTAACCCCGAATTTTAAACAAATATATCACATTAACCCCCAAAATTTGTTTTTTAGAAAATAATTTTTTCTGAAATGGTTTTTTTTTTCCGGTAAGATTCCGGCGCTGACCGCCGGAGACCGCCGGTCTCCAGCGTTAACTTTTTTTTTTTTTCTTAGAAAAAAAATATTTTAATTAATATTACTGTCTTGGCTACTAGATTACTGTCTCAGACAGTAATATTACTGTTTGGGATAGTAATATTATGAATATTATTTTCCCGAACAGTAATATTGTTAATATTATTGTCTAAGACAGTTAAATTATTGTTGGAGACTGTAATTTAGCAGCAAAGGCAGTAATATTAATTAAAATATTTTTTTTTTAAGAAAAAAATATTTAAAAAAAAAAAGTCAATTAACAGTTAAATTACTGTCTCAGACAGTTAAATAATTGCTGGAGACAGTAATTTAGCAATGAATACAGTAATATTAATTAAAAATATTTTTTTTAAGAACAAAAAAGTCAATTAACAGTTAAATTACTGTCTCTGACACTTAAATAACTGCTGGAGACAGTAATTTAGCAACGAATACAGTAATATTAATTAATTTTTCTTTTTAAGAATAAAAAAGTCCATTAACAGTTAAATTACTGTCTCCGACAGTTAAATAACTGCTGGAGACAGTAATTTAGCAACGAATACAGTAATATTAATTAAAATAATTTTGAAGAAAAAAAAAACAAAAAAAAAAGTCAATTAAATAACTGTCGGAGACAGTAATTTAGCAGCCAAGACAGTAATATTAATTAAAAAAAATTAAGAAAAAACATAATTATAACAAAAAAAAAGTCTACGCTCCGGCGGTCAACGGCAGTTGACCGGCCAGAAAAGAAATTCTGGGGAAAAAAAAAAAAGGTCAACGCCGGAGATCGGCGGCGGCCGGCGGTCTCTGGTGGTGGCGGGTCAAAATTGGGGTCAAAATTGAAATTATGGTTAAAATTGGTTAATTGATGAAATTGGGCTAAATTAGGGTGTAAATCATGAAATTGGAGTTGGATTGGGTTTCAATGAATAGGGGGTAATTTTGGTATTTATAAAGGGATTTTCCTTATTTGCAAATAAGTTTGAATGTGCTGGATTTATTTGAAAAACAAAAAAGTTTAATGTCCCTCTTTTAATTAAGTGCCCTTGTCATGGGCCTATTTGTCATTTGCCCTTAAAATAATAGTTGAGAAATCAAAGAATTGAGTTAGTAAAAGCTTCAACTACATATTTGAGAAATCAAGCTCTTGATCACTAATTTAGTTTTTGTAAATTATTCGATATATATACTAAATCAAAATACAAAGGTTTAAAGTGAAACACTATATTTATTGATTAGCACTTTTTGAAGCTTATTAATTAATATTTTCTAACTTTCTGCAATTTATTACCACAATAATCATACATCAATGTGAATCTATTACATTTGATCATATTTACAATCGCTAGATTATTACAAGACATCTTTTAAAATAGTTTCTCTTAAACAAATCGCATTTTTAGCAAAAGAGTATGATTAGAACTTGGATATCATTCAAGACGTGTAGGTTCGTAAACAATCATTAAATTACACGACATGCCTACAAAAACTGAGGCATTGCGAGAAAAAAATAAACGAGATAAAATGTCTTAAAAGACCTCAGAACAAGCACCTCTATGGGAGTTTCTCTTCTTTCAGTTGCATTAACAAGTGTTTCGCGTATTGTACTACTAATTTTACTTTTTCTAACCTGAAAATACCTAAATAACCTTCAAACCAGTACTTTCAAAAATAACAGATTCACCCCAAAGTTGTTGTAAGGCCCAAAATGAAGTTTTTAAAACTTTCAATTAAGTCCCAAATATATTAAAAAAAAACAAAAAGAAAAAAAAAACAGATTTCTTCTAGCTTCTCTACCACACCTAATTATTGCTGGGTTTTTATCCATGGACCATTATAACCCGAAAACTCGAAACTAACACCCAAATCAAACGTCTTACCAAAATGGTAAAAATGTAGTTAGTTTGAGGACCAAAATCGTGGAAAAAAATATAGGGACTAAATCGATTTTCGTGTATAATATAGGGACGAAAACTGTACTTATCTCTACTTTTGTCATTTCACATTTTAGAACATTTATCGAATTTAATTTTATTTAGGCGAAATTTTAAGATTAAGGTGATATTGGGGCTAAACAAACAATATACGTAAAAAGAAGGGCTTGATGTGCATTATCACCTGCCTCGCACGTGACTTTTCCATCCAAACTAACGGCAATTTCAAACGGTGGACGAAACATTGTAAAAAAATTGGTTAATTGAGCACCAATTTTGTGCTAGAAAAAGTTTAAGGATCAAAACTGTAATTATCGCTAGTTATATACGTATATGATGCTTTTTTTATAAATACATAATCCTTTTAAAAAGAAGGGCTTGATTATATGTGCTAGAAAAAGTTATGAAATTCTTTTTTTTAAATAAATAATTTAAAGAAGAACAACATCTTTGTTTTATACTTGTAGTTGATATTAACATGGACGAAGTAGCTGCATTGGCCGAGAATCTGCTTTTGTACATTTCCTCTAAGAATGGCCTTGCCTCATAAACCTCTTTCCTCTTTAGCAAACCGTGGATAATGTTGTTGTACGCCATGCTATCCGGTGCACACTCACTACAACTCTCCATTTTCACAAGCAAATCATTTGCCTCGTACGAGCTTCAATATCTTTAAACAAATTCCATCCATCAGCAATTCTGCCTTCACTTAATAATAATCCATGTATCATGGTGTTATAACTAACTTTTGTGTGTTCCAACCCGTTAGAAGAAGCTTCGAGAAAAAGACGACAAGCTTCATCCACTTTTCCCGTCTTGCAATATCCATTGATTACATAATTATAGTTGATAATACACGGGTTAAGGCCCTTGCCGGTTATAGAATCAAATACTTCTTTCGCCCTTGCATAAGCGATCAATTACAGCGGTATTAGCCTTAACATTGGGTTTATAGATAGTCTTTTCCAATAACCAAAGCAAATCACGAGCAACATGAACGTGTCCATTTTTGCAGAGCCCGTTTATCACAGTCATAATCATAACTTCATTAGGTTCACAAAGTTTTAAAATCAAAGCCTTCTTGAATAATTTCTCTGCATCGACAACCTTACCATTTGCAAAGAGCCCTTTTAGGAGAGTGGTGAACTTCACGACCAGGTTCTGGGGGAGGCGGAATAGACGGTCGCCTAGGGCCCTAGAAATTTTGTAAAAATTTGTCGGCCCCCAAATTTTTTTATACCATTTATATATTAGCATTTATTAAAACAATATATATTATATATATAATTATTGAGAACTCCAATTCATAAATAGATATTAATCAAGGATTTTTACTTCTTTGTATAATTCCTCGAATCGTGGGGGCCCCCAATTATTAAATTTATAATGCATTAGTTATTTATTTTTATATATATTCACTTGTTTTATTACTACTTAACGAAAATATCCTAAAAGAAATCAGGGCCGCTACCTCCGAACCCTCGAAAACTATAACATCACTATATCACAAATTTATAGCCTTGCGTCTGGCTATATACCTTACAAAAACGAGTTAACATAGAGTTTTTTTTTTTTTTTTATAAACATGATGTGTTTTAATGTAGATTTTAGAAGGGCGCTATTTTTCAACCGTCTTCAAATCTCGCACAGGGCCCAAAATCACAGGAGCGGCCCTGGTCACGACATTTGCCACGTAACCCTGTTTAAGGAATCTGCCAAAGATAACAAAACCAATCTCTACACGTTTCAAAAGGCAACAGCAATTAATCAAGATGATAATTGTGCACTCATTCATAGGGCCAGCCCATTGACGCATTTCGTCGAACAGTTTAAGGGCAACGGAGTATTGTTCCATCTTGAAAATAACCTGCAATAGTTTGTTGAATTCAAAAAGGAAGGCTGTGTCTGCATTCTTACCATTTGACGGAACAAGAACATAGCATCATCTAATTCATGTATACAACTCAAATTTATGACCCACACTATGAAACTTTGAACAAAATAAAGAAAAGGGATCAGCAAAAATGATGAAGAATATGTAGCAGCAATTGCTCTACGAATCAGCAAAAAAAGGTATATATAATTATCTATATACCCACACAAGGTATGGGGTTTTCGTTTTCCTTTTTTCAATTCTTTTAAATTGAAAAATTAATGTTATTTTAAGCGTAGTTTGTATTTCATCGCCTATAAATTCTATTTTTTGCACTTTCCCTCATATATGTTTTCTAGGGGATTATTTATTGGACCTTCCATGGTCCAGTAATATAATTGAACTTTTATAAAATTGTTTAATCTTGGAGAAATTGAATATAAGCCAATGACACACACTTAATCAAATAAATGGATATAACTTTTTTTGGCATATCACCACAACAATATTAATTTTTTTGTATACATTCACGAATGACATTTATAATGCATCATAAATTGAAAATGACCCAACTAAATTTATTATAAAAAAAAAATGTTTTTCGTTCGTAACTCTAAACCTCATTCTGAAGCAGTACATTTGACATCTAACTCATAAATTGTTAGTTTTGTGGTCCAAATAAATTATTTCATTCAGCTCAGTTAACCTACTCTATATGAGGCGGCCCAACAAGCACAAAGCCCAAGTCTCACTTGAGCCCGAATTCTTTTGATCTTGTCTCTCCATTCTAGGGTTTACACCCCTTCTGTCATTTAGAAACCCTAATTCACTTTCTAGGGTCGTACCACCGCATTGAATGCTCTTGCATTTTCCGGTGACACACCCGTTTGACTATAACAATGGCCGTTCTTTTTTAGTTCTTAGCTTTGGAGACCAGATTGCTTTTCCATCTATATAGCAAACCCTTCTGTGAGAGAGAGCGTATGGAACCAACTCAAATTTAAATCTTTTCCAACAGTTTTATTTTGTATATTTTAACTGTTCTTTGTGAATCTGTGAGAAAACGCCTTGAGTGAAGGAAACACGAGTCAGAGAGTTCATCTCCGGTGAATTTTGGGGTTCTAGGTGAGGGTTTGACATAATCTGAGTGATTTCTGCATGATATAGGGTTTCTGGGTCTTAGTGGTGTTGGGACTTTCATGATTTTCAATAATTAATATTGAGTAATATTAATTAAACTATGTAAAGATTAATTTTATTTATTTACTTGATCATAATTATGAACTAAAGTGTATGAAAATTGTCTTGAATAAATGGTTAATTTCAAAAGAAGCGCTTGATGTGATCGAGTGATATGACTAGTTTGGGTTTAGCTGTCCATTAATATTACTTTTCGAGATATTTAGTAATTAGTCAAATTAGTTGACCCAAAATCTAAATAATAAAATATTTGGCCCAAACCAAATATTTAATTAATTGGCCCATGACCAATTAATTTTCCTACGTTTTGAACCCGGTGAAAAGAACAGACACAACCTTCTGCTTCTTCTTCCAACCATTGCATCCCTCCATGAATGAATCTCTACCGCCTATAAATAAAGGCAGAATCTGGCCAATTCTGTACTGAATTTAATCGGCAATTAAGGGATAGTTCTTCATATTTTTCTTTTTCTTCGTCAAAGTTCCGTTCGTTGTTCAAGTTCGCCATGGGTCGAATATTCGTGCAAATATTTGACAACCGATCGTTGTAACTTGGGTGACTACCGGGAAGAGACTGTGCATCGTTCACAGCCCGGAAATTTTGTCTTAAGGGAATTGCTTTGGCAAGCGTCGATCGTTCTTTGTGTTTTTCACAATTCCTCTTTTCGACAAACAAGTAAGTATTTACCACACGGATGATAATTTCGAGACACAAAAAAAAAAATTGACACAAAATTTCAATGTCACAGATTTCTTTCATCTACGCAGATAAATTGAAATAGAAAATTCTAATATAATACATAATATAAAACAAGTTTGACTTTGTTTACAAAGTAATAATTAAGTCCCAAGTTTTGTGCATAAAGAAGTTTTACGCAAACTTTTGTAAACCAGAAGCAAAATCCTCACAACATAAGAAATTTACGCAGAAGTTATAAAACACGGAAATTTATATTGTCTTAAGGTTGTTGATATAATTATAAATAAAAATCTGCGTAAACGAAAAATATTTTATGCCAAAAACTATCTATCTTAGAATATCATATTGAATAAGAGTTAATGTGCCGCAAGTTAGTATTATTTTCCATCGTGTATTGATTTTTATACATATTCAGGGTTTTATTGGGTTAATAAAAGTGGGTTTTTCATATTTGCAAATACTGTAGTATAATGAAAACAAATTTGAAAGTCTTCTCCATACATCATCTTGAGTATTATGTATATTCAGAATTTCTCGACTTAATTCAGAGGAAATTTTACAGTATATACAGAACAAGACTTTTCTAGGCAAGGAATCCTAATTTAAAAATAAAGATTAATAATTCTGAATGTTGTTTGAATAAATTATGTGTAGATGGCTTCAATCAATGATATCACCTCTGAGGGTGGTCAATACGTGGCTAAGGCACACGTAGTTGAGAGATCGAAGCAGTGCAACAAACAAAAGGGTACTACATTTAACAAAGAACCAAACAATAAGAAGAACAAAAGGTTCATCGGAGCGTGCTTTATTTGTGGAAAGAATGGACACCTTGCGAAGGATTGCCGCCACCGCAAAGAAAACAATAAGAATGAAGCAAATGTCACCGTGGACTTAGCTACTTCCGAGAACGACAATATGCACCTTTCGGCAGTTGTAACAAAGGTCTACCTATTGAGCGATACTCGAGGATGGTGGGTTGACACCGGGGCTACTCGTCACATTTGATATGACAAGAGCATGTTCTCCTCCTACAAGAAGTTGGAACAAGAACAAAAGCTTCATGGGAAATGATGCTTATTCGGTGGTTGAAGGACAAGGACAAGTGGTCGTAAAATTCACTTCCGGGAAGGAAGTTACCTTGAACGATGTGCTACACGTTCCGGATATTAGGAAGAACATAATCAGTGGTTCTATCCTAACCAAGAAAGTTTTCAAGTTGGCTTTTGAGTCGGACAAATTTGTGTTAACTAAAGGAGGGTTCTACGTGGGAAAGGGGTACCTATGTGACGGTCTCTTTAAGGCGAATGTAGCCGTTATCGGCAAGAACTAAGCTACTAAATTTATATTAATAATTTTTAGTTTATATGGTTTATTTGCATTTTGTGATATGAGTTGTAAGAACTTATTATGTTGGAAAATGTCGTGTGTAAAACAAGTTTTTATTATACAAGTTTTTGACAAGTATATTTTTTCAAAATTGCCCTATGTTTTACAAGTCTGTATGAAATTTAAAATTATTAAATCATATAAATATTTTATTTCTTTTGAAACAATATTGTTCAAACCAATGAGTTGGTCGAATTTAGGCATAATCAATTCTTCTTTATACTTTAAATATTGTTAATGTTGTTTGAATTATTTGTTTTCATAAAATCTGTGAATTCTTTGTCAAAAGAATTGTGTAATGATTTTGTGCCATCATTTGTCACAAAATAAGACTTTCAAATTTTGAGTTTAATAAAATACGAAGCCGTAAATGTATTTGTGAAATACAATGCGCAAGTGTGTGCAAGTATAATTCTTCAAATCAATACACACTTATATGTCAAATGGGTTAGCCAAAAGTTAAAATGAATTTTAAATACACGATTAAATTTGGGTTTATCAAACAACTTGTGGGGAAGCTCCTTATATATCTAATGGTATATTAAATAGAGTTTCACACAAGAAGAGAATAACATTCTCTTTTGAAAATATATAAAATTGAACTAAAAATATCTCAAAATGTGGGGGCATTTGACTACAAATTAAATATGTTCTTATATGTCCTTGAGGGATATAGCGAGGCAATATAATTAGAGATTCAATTTAAAAACAATCAATTAACAATTGCTCTCATACTTTACGATAGTAAGTCTCGACATATTCGTTGTAGACATATAACGCGATACATTTACTCTCTAATGGAATAAATTTCCATTGATTTTGAGAAGTCCAAAGATAACCTAGCGGATCCATTTAATAAGGTTTATCTAGTGAGAGAGTTAAATGCGCATCGAGGGGAATAAGTTTAAAGCCTAAATATCTAAGTTACATTATACGAAAACCTAACTTATGTATAACTTAGAGATCCCACGGACCAAGTTCAATAGGACAACCAGTTCTGTGTAACTTAAATAAATGGAGCACTTAGGAGTTTAACTCCATCTTATTCATATGATGCAATAAGTGCAGCCTAAGACGTTCAAAAAGGTTAAGCTATTGCTTTTAATGACGTTTATATCTTGTAATATTACAAGTGGGGTATATTAGGATGTTCAGGGCCAAAACGAACAGAACCGATAACTTGAACAAGTTCGTTTAGTATGGGGTTAAGTTTATTGTCTTGGTTTACACAAATAGCTGACGGTTCAAGATGAAATAATTCACCGATTGACTAAGTGAATCCGATAAGTTTTAACTAGGGAAGGTTCAAGATGAAATATTTCACCTATCCCGATGCTAAACTATTTACTAAGGAATTTTGACAAATAGATCTTATGCGATAAGATTGGAAAAATAATTTTATTCATATGGGGGATTGTTGGAACTTTCATGATTTCCAATAATTAATATTGAGTCATATTAATTAAACTATGTAAAGATTAATTTCATTTATTTACTTGATCATAATCATGAAGTAAAATGAATGAAAATTGTCATGATTAAATGGTTAAAGTTCAAAAGATGTGTGCTTGATGTGATTGAGTGATATGACTAGTTTGGGTTTAGGTGTCCACTAATATTACTTTTGGGGACATTTAGTAATTAGTCAAATTAGTTGACCCAAAATCTAAATAATAAAATATTTGGCCCAAACCAAATATTTGATTAATTGGCTCTTCTGCTTCTTCTTCCAACCATTGCATCCCTTCATGAATGGATCTCTACCGCCTATAAATAAAGGCAGAATCTGGTCAATTCTGTACTGAATTTAATCGGCAATTAAGAGATAGTTCTTCATATTTTTCTTTTTCTTCCTCAAAGTTCCATTCGTTGTTCAAGTTTGCCGTGGGTCGAATATTCGTGCAAGTATTCGATAACCGATCGTTGTACCTTGGGAGACTACCGGGAAGAGACTGTGCATCGTTGACAGCCTGGAAATATTGTCTTAAGGGAATTGCTTTGGCAAGCCTCGATCGTTCTTTGTGTTTTTCACAATTCTTCTTTTCGACAAACAAGTAAGTATTTTTCGTTTATGCAGATTGTTATATATAATTATACCAACAAGTGGTGCTTTCACCTCCGGTGGTGTTTGATCAAGAACTGTGAGACTGGAAGCTGAGCCTTAAACCTAAAATCTTGACTACTCCATTTTAGAGTTTCAGTCCACGGTAGCTTTAGTTGGTAGAAATGTGTTTTTATTTCATTTAACTTCAAACAGGTACCGAACGGTGGTATCAGAGCTCCTTCGTGGTAAGGGTGTCTGTTTGAAGTAAGGTGTACAAGATCCAACCGGATCTTTGCCAAGGTATATCAAAACCCTCGCTGTTTTATTTTTTCTGGTAAACTCTTGTGAGCTCTGTGTAGAAGTCAATAGGACTCAACTTCTCATCCGATGCTTGAACTGTGTAACACATAGTTCAACCAAAGCCTCTACTCCCTTCTCTCCCTACCTTAAACTTCCTTGTCCAGACCGTTCAATGTCTTAGGAATATGGGAGGGGGTTGATTGTGTGAGTTTCACTTTGGAATTTACTACTTTATGTTATTGTTATTGTTGAAGCCCTGTGTGGTCTTGCAGAAGCTATTTGTGGTATTATTTGACCTTGTGTGGTCCTGTTGAAGCCCTGTGTGGCACTACTTATGACCAGTAGCTTGCTATTGCAGATAAAAGTCAAAATTAAATAAAATGAAACAAATAAGATTGTAACCTCAAGAGTTGGCAAAGTGAATTCCAGTAATTAGATTTGCTTTAAATGATTTTAAAGCACAATAGTCTCTTATGCAATAATATTAAGCAAAGATGATTAAAATAACAAAATGACCCCAATATTTCAATATACACGATTTCTTATTAACTACCACGTTACAAATTTAAGGAGAAATAAAATTAAGATAAATAACAAAAAGAAAATAATGAAAGAAGACATAACTGCTCAATTGCTTTGCCTTTCTATTCACCATGTACAAATACAAATATATGGCTATTACATTTTATCATATTTATTGTTGGTATATTCTTGCATTAATAGCTTACTATTACATATAAATGTCAAAATTAACATAAATGAAAAATGTAAGGTTGTAACCTCAATAGTTGGTGTAGACATCGAAATTTTGAGATAAATTACTAATTGATAACAAAAATAAATTGGTTATTAATTAGGTCTCAAATTAAAGTCTATAATATATTTGAGCTTTAAAATGTCCGGTCCATACTGCAAATCAAGAAACCCTAGCTTGTGCCT